CCCTTGAATACAAAGATTCTGTGAGGCTTTTGGGGTTATTCCTTGACACTCGTTTGTCTTGGTCTCCCCATATCTCTTGCCTCCGTGTTGAGTGCTCTAAGGCCCTTACCCTCCTTCGAGTCTTGTCCCATACTTCTTGGGGGGCAGATAGGCGCACTCTCCTTGCTTTACATTCCTCTCTCGTCCTGTCTAAGCTCTATTATGGTTGCCCTGCTTACTCGTCTGCTTCTCCTTTTACTCTTCGCCGTCTTGATGCTTTGCACCATACTGGGTTGCGCCTCAGTTCTGGTGCCTTTCGTTCGACTCCCATCCTTAGCTTGTATGTTGACACTGGCTTCCTGTCTCTCCAGGACCGCCGTGATCGCTACTGTCTTCGCTATCTTGCGCGGTCCTTGCAACATCCTTCCTCTCGCCTCTGTCGTGCTTTAACTTTTACCCCTCCTGCGGTTCCTGTTCCTCTTCACCACCTCCCTCTTTCTGTCCGGTTATCTCGCCTACAGGATTCTCTCTCCGTTTGTATTTATGATGTTTCTCCCCGTGTTGTTCCTTCTTTGCCCCCGTGGAGGGTCCCTCTTCCGCGGTTTTGTACTTCCTTGACCCATATCACTAAAGCTTTTACCCCTCCTACGGTTTTAAAACGCCTTTTCCTCGAGCACTTTTCTTCTCACTCCCGCTCCGTTTCTGTCTTCACCGATGGGTCTAAGTCAGCGGACGGTGTTGGCTACTCTGTTGTTTTTCCTGATCGCACTTATATGTGTCGCTTGCCTCCGGAGACTAGCATCTTTACAGTGGAACTTTATGCTATTCTCTATGCTCTTCGTCTCCTGCTTTCTCGTTGTCAGTCTTCCTTTGTGGTTGTTGTTGACTCTCTTAGTGCCCTCACGGCTCTCGGGTCCTTTAATCCGGTTCATCCAGTAGTTGTCGAGATCCAGCATTGGCTGTTTCTCGTTCACAGTAAATTTAAGTCGGTTGAGTTTTGTTGGGTTCCCAGCCATATTGGTGTGTCTTTAAATGAGCGTGCAGATGCTGCCACTAAGGAAGCTGTCCGCTCTTGTCCCATCTCTCGTAAAGGCATTCCGTATTCCGACTTTTACCCGGTTATCCATTCCTCAGTCCTTACCCGTTGGCAGGCTTCTTGGTTGTCTGTTACTGGTAACAAGCTACGTACTCTTAAATGTTGTGTTTCCTCGTGGCCGTCCTCCTTCCACCGAAACCGGCGGTGGGAAACAGCTCTGGCGAGGTTGCGTATTGGCCATACTCGCTTAACCCATGGTCACTTGATGGAGCGCCCTGCTCCTTATTGTCCTAGTTGCATTGTCCCTCTTACGGTCGTGCATGTCCTCCTTGAATGTCCTGACTTCCAGGACGAGCGTGTGTCTTGCTTTCCGACCGCCCCTCGCGGTCACCTGTCCCTCGATAGAATTCTTGGTGACTCGGATACTTTTGATATCGTTCGCCTTATGCGTTTTTGTTCTCGTATTGGCATCCTTGGTGATATTTAGCGCCGTCTGATTATTTTGCATATTTGATGGTGCTACATAGCCTTCCCGGTTTGGTGCCTTCTTTTGATAATTACTTACTTGAAAAACATCAATTAATAATAGAGTCGCAACATGGTTTTATAAATGGCCGTTCATGTTTAACAAATTTGTTATCTTTTTATTCTAGCATAGTTGAGGCAGTTGATAGTGGTAAGGATTGTGATGTGTACCTTGACTTTAGCAAAGCTTTTGATACAGTGCCACATGAAAGACTGATTAAAAAGATAGTCTCATGGTATTGGGGGTGCTATATTAAGCTGGATTAGGGCATGGCTATACCAAAGGAAACAGAGTTAGTATAAATGGAATCAAGTCAGAGTGGGAAAATGTTGTAAGTAGAGTGCCTCAAGGCTCTGTCCTGGGACCTCTGTTGTTTATAATATATATAAATGATTTAGATTCAGGTTTGAGTAGCAACATTTGCAAATTTGCCGATGATACGAAAATCGGTAGGGAAATTAATTCGGAAATACTCCTTACTGTTGGAAGCGTGGACTCTGCCAATTTTGACTCTGCTTTGTGTTTATGTCCACGCCAGTGTCCCCTGGCGTCCCTCGTGGTGCCCCCAAACATATTCAGGTGTGCAGTCAGTCAGCCTTCAGCAACATCACGCTTGTGTATAAACCGGTGTTTATCGAGTGCGCGTTCTCCCCGTTTTTTGGTGGGGGAATTAAGCAATTTCCGACCTTAGTGTCGCGTCTGCAGCCACCTCACCGGCCGTGCTGCCTTGGGGTAGGGCTCACGCCTCGCCTCGCTTGCCGCACCTCGCGCTTGACCTCGCTGCCTCCGAGCGCAGCGTCCTACCTCACTCCTCACCTCTGGCTCGTGCTTCAATCAACAGCTGGGGCAGTGAGTGTGTTATGAGTGGATGTCATACCGGTATAAATTAACGTGAGTGCTCAAATATTATTTCTCTATCTTTCGTACGTGCCAAATTCCTTGCGCTTGAAGTTAGTTCAGCCGTCCGTTAGTCGTTCTCCTTAGTTCCCCTACGGGACCGAGTTCGATTTCTCGAGGAAGCACGATAGGTAAGCACCACCTACAGTTTTTCTGTGTGACTACTGTAGCTGGACTAAGTGTTTGTCATCTTACACTACAGTTGCCCACATTTAGTTGACTCAGTGTCAGGTGTGTTTTTCATGTGTTTAGTGTAGTTTCAATATTATACCATCACTGTGTTAACCCATTTCCATGCCGTTCTATTCTGTACTTCCAGGAGATATGCTGTAATTAACAAGGTTATATTACATTGTTGACACGAGTGAGTGTCAGTGTATTGTGGTATTATTGTTTTATTGACACGTGTGTCTGTGTTGTGTTTATTAGTGTGTGTACTATATTAGGTGGACTGTGACCCGGTGTACTTTGGTTTAGTGTAATTTTTGTCTTTCTATGGCCCGTATTGTTGCGTCTGTCAGTATTGCATATTGTTGCATTGGTCTCTGATCCCGTACAACATATTTTGGTTCATTTATTCTCGAGACGTCAGTGTAACTTGTGTTTATGTACTCGAGACGTCTGTATACTTTGCGTTTGTTTAATCTTGCAAGGTCAGTGTACTTTGTGTTCAGTGCCTTGTGGAGTCGGTATACTCCGTGTTTACTGTTCTTGAGACGTCAGTGTAACGTAGATCATTCTTGAAGTCAGTGTATTGAGTTAATGTAGTTATTTGATTTAGTACGCGGTGATTAGTAATTGTATCGACTAATCGACGTTTGTTAGCGGTCTCAATGACGCCGAGCCATAACGTAAATTCTTCGTGGAATTAAGTAGAGCTGTCAAGCTGTGACAGATCCTTTGGACGATTACTCAGGGAATGCTAATTACCCATTCGCTGTTATTGATTACATTAACACTGTTTTGATTTGCATGTCTGAGACAAAATAACGTAATTGTATTTACTAAGTAAAGTAACGTAATCAATTGAGTGTTGCACGGAAGACTCGTCTCGGTGACAGGTATGTCCGTTGTTTCAATCAATCGCCCCACGCTGGTCACGGATCTCGCATCTGGCGCCAACGTGGGGCCGTTGTCTTTTCACTGCGTTATTGCTACTTGCTGCAGTCTTGTCGAGCTGCCATTGCGTCTGGAGTGGTTGCACACTATTGTTAAAGAGTAGTTAGGGTCAGCAGTACCGCGAGCGGTCCGAACCGGAAGCTGTTATTCCGGTTAGCCTAGCCTTGTCATGCGCCACGACAGACATTAACGTAACGTCAGATGATTCCTGCCATGTATCGTTAGTATTAAGTTTTATGAATCACGTAATTGTTGAACTACAAGTGACTTTACGTTCACACCTTCAGAACCCTTGTACCCAGTATCGACTTTGCCATTATTTCCGTTATAAACGTGATCCCTTTCATGTTGCCTGGATTACTTTGATTTGAACTGCGTTCACGGCCGCACACAAATTCTATTTGATGTGAGGATCTTATGAGCTACTCTGATGACCTCCCTCTGAGGTCCCAGAAGCTCCACGACCCAGTGGATAAGGAGTGCCAAGGATTTGGACTCCTGCAGCTGCTCTATGCATCCCTGGTCAGTCATTAAAGTATAATCTGCCCTCAGCATTAGTTTGATGCTAGTTCAGTCCTTTCCTGACTGAGGTGTCTTGTAACCTATTCACCTCTAAAAAGGATAATCTCACATTCAGGGCAGTTTTCCCCTAGAAATTCGTGGGAATTTCGGTCCCAGTGAGGGACAGACATTTGGTGTGGTTGTCGCCAATTTGTATGAGCACCACACTTTGCCCTGAGGGAGGTGTAAAGCCGCCTAGTGAGGAGGGGGTACAAACCGAGCCGAGCTGTGTGGGACAAAACATGGGCAACTCTAGCCTAGCCAAGCCGCCTTGGGGAGGTGGCTATCAACTACAGTGCTGTGGGATTAGCTCGCTGGCCGCCAGGGGGTCAAGACGTGCTCGCCTGACCTGCCAGTTGTTGCCTGGTGTTGAGAGGGGGTGGGTGCGGTTTGAGGTGCGGTGCGCCCACTGGCCGGGGACCCTGCTGGCGGTATGGTTGTTGGTGGTGATACCCGCGTTCGGCGGGTTGACACAGTGCGCTTTGAATTTTCTGGTGCTGTGGACTGGCCCATTGTGGAGGTAGTGCTGTTGGATGTGCTCTGTGTGGACATCCCTGATTTGTTGGGGCTGGAAAAGCTCTCGCCTACCCGAGTGGGGGTGTCCTTCGCCACGTCATCGTTTTACCAGGAGTTTGTGGCGCACTGGGATGCCCGCACGCTTACTATTCCTGAATCGGCTGTGACCGTGGAGATTTCAGATCCCTGGGGGCCCTTGAAATATGCGAGTGTTCACGGTGTGCCGGTAACTTTCCCCGTGGAGGCGCTGCGGTCGGTATTTACGCGGTATGGTGTGGTGATGAACCACCGATTCAACACTGAGTGCGGGCCGGCTGAGAGGGGTCCGTATGGGCGCTCGTATGCTCGCCATGCGGGTCACGACCCCTATTCCGTCCAGGATTGTGTATCGTGGGCTCCCTCTATGGATCTTTTATCAGGGCCAGACACGGACCTGTTTCCGGTGTGGTGCTGAGGGCCACGTGGCCGCCGGCTGTGATGCTCCTCGTGCTGAGGTCCCTTCGGTTTTCCTGGAGGGTGACTTTCCCTGCTTGTCTGAGCGTGGGGTTTCCTCAGCAGATCCTCTCTCTGTCCTGGTTCCTGCTGCGGTTTCAGTGGGCGTTCCGTCTGGCCCTGCCGTGTCTGGCTCTGGTTTGTCTGCTCCTCCGGTGAGCTCTGTGGACCTGGAGCCTCCTGCTTCGGTTCTTCGTCGTTCGGTGGGTGCGGAGGTGCATCTGCGGCCGGTTGATTCCATGGGGGCTTTGGATGCTGCTGTAGGGGTGGTGCCTCTCCCCCGCCCTCTGCCTCGTCTCCCTCGTCGTCTTCGGTGGTTTCCTCGCTCCCCAGTGCCTCTTCCCCTGCGCCGGCTCTGTCGTCCATGATGGATACCTCACGTGTGCTGGAGTGTGTTCTCCTGCCTGCTCTGTCTGCTCCTTCTCAGTTGCCGGTCTCCGGGCATGGTAGTGGCTTTTTGCCCTATGCTGTTGAGGCTACTGCTCTGCGTGATCGTGCTGCCCCGGCTTTAGGGCCGCCTGCTGCTGGTTCTTCTGGGGCACCGCTTGCTGGGGGCGACAGTTCAGACGATCAGCGGCCTCTTTTTAAGCGCCGTCATTCGGCTCGGGCTGCGTTGCCTCGGACGTGGGCTGAGGAGCGAGATGCGATGGATGATGAGGCTGTGGACGTCGCTGTGTTGTCTTCTGTGGTGCCTGTGTTGGACGCTGTGCCTCCTGCTTATGGCTCTCCTCAGTGGGCGGTTGCCCCGGGTGATCGCGACCTGGTAGTGGTGTTGTCGAAGGATGTGTGTCGGGGGGCCTCTGCCCATTCCGGTTGGTGGGGGCACTGGGGCACCTGCGGAGGCATCTTTCGTGGGGCTCGATGCGGTGCCCGGCGTCGACCGCAGTGAGGGCCCTGGGGTCCAGGCTGGTGTGCATCCGGATGTGCAGCTCAGTGTGCTTCCGGTGGTGGATGTGTCCTCCGGGGGATGCGTCGGGTTGGGGGTGTCCTGAGGCTCTCCCGATGGCGCTCTCGGTTGTATGTGCGTCTTTGAATGTTCGGGGTTTGAATGATCTTGGGGGTCCAGTTGGGCCTGTTGGATATTCTGCAGGAGCAGCGTGTGGATGTGGCCCTGATTCACGAGCATAATGTTCATGATGTGTCCGTGTTCCAGTGTTTGAGTGTGCATTTTTATGTTGTGCTCAACCCGCCGAGGACGTCCTTCGAAGGGGACGCTTTTTTCTAGGATGGCTTCCTTCACAGTGCTTCACACGGAGATGGACGAGGATGGGCGGGTTTTGTTTGTGAGGGTGGAATTTTTGGGGGTCGTCATTCCGTTCCTGATGGTGTATGCCCCCTCGGGGGCGGCGCACTGTCGGGAGCGGGAGGAGTTTTTTCGGGTGGGGCTTCTCCCTTTCTTGCGTCGTGATACGCGGGGTATGATTTTTTTGGGGGGGGGGGGGGACTTTAATTGTGTGACGAGTGCGCAGGACTGTAGTAGCGCTCGCCCGCAGAATTTCTCGGGTGCGCTGCGGGAGGTGGTGCATTCTTGCAGTTTCAAGGACGCTGCTGTGCTCTCTGGGGGCGAGTTGTCTTTCACGTTTGCTGCGCGTGGGGTGCGTTCGCGGATTGATCGGGTGTGTTTTACTGGCGGGGAGTATTCTGTGTTTGCTTTCAGCACGGTCCCGGTTGCATTCTCGGACCATAGTTTAGTGGTGGTCCGGGTTGGTGTGCCCAGTCAGGTGCGGGGTGGTGGAAGTTGAATTGTGGGTTGTTGCGTTGTCCGCGGGTCTGTGGGCAGTTTCGGGTTTGGTGGGTTGGGGTTCTGGCCCGGCGGTGTGTGTTTCCTTCTGTTTTGGAGTGGTGGGAGTGGAGTAAGGTGCAGTGTCGGTTGTTCCTTTGCCTGGTTGCCAAGCGTGAGGCTGCTGGGTGCTTTGGATTGCTGTGGTTGTTACAGGCGAAGCTTTCGCCGTTGTATGTGCGGTTTAATGCTGGGGTTGAATGTTTTGGGGAGATTGCGGAGTGTAAGGAGCGTATTTGTAGTTTGCGGAATGAGTGGGCTGAAGGTGTTCGTGTGCGTGCTCGTGTGAGTGAGCGTGTGGACGGGGAACGGCTCTCTCCATTTCTTTTAGGGAAGGTGAGGGCTGCGCGGGACTGTTCTTTTTATGGCTCTGCAACGGCCGAATGGGACCGTTGTTTCGGACACCGGTGGTGTGTTGCATTATGTTCGGCAGGAGTTGGCTGCGCTCTATGAGGTGGTGGTAGGGGACGCCGCAATTGCGGAGGATTTCTTGGGTAGGTGCGTTCTGGGGTTGTCTGCTGTGGATTGTTTTGGTTTGGTGGAAGACGTTTCATTGCGGGAGCTTTTTGAGGTGGTCCGGTCGTTTCGTTCCGGGAAGGTGCCGGGTTCGGATGGTCTTCCTGTCGAGTTTTACGTTGCATTTTGGGATGTGTTGGGGGATGTTCTTCTGGAGGTGGTCCGGACTTGTCTTCGGGGGTGCATTCTGCCTATGTCTCAGTGCGTTGGGATTGTGCAGCTCCTCCCGAAGCCGGGTGATTTGCGGTTCTTCTCGAACTGGAGGCCCATTACTTTGCTGAATGTGGACTATAGGATCCTGTCTAAGGTTTTAGCTGGTCGGTGTCGACGTGTTGTTGCGTCTGTGGAACAATTTTGTGGTATTCCGGGTCTCTCGTTATTGCAGTGCAATGCGTTGTTTCGGGATGTGCTCTTGTATGCGTCGGGTTCTCGCTCGTCGGCAGCGATTTTTTTCCTGGATTGGTCGAAGGCATTTGTTTTTCATATGTTGGAGAGGCTTGGGTTTTCGCCTTTGTTCTTTGAGTGCGCATGTTGTACGCTCAATGTTGTAGTCGGGTTTGCGTCAATGGGTTTTTGAGCGATTCTTTCCCTGAACGTCGCTCCGTGCGGCAGGGTCGTCCGCTTTCTATGCTCTTTTATGTGCTCTTTCAGGAGCCTTTTTTTCAGTAGGTCAAGGCTTGTCCGTTGATCCTCCCCCACCCCGGCTGCCATCTGATCTTCGGTTACCCATCTGTGGTTATGCGGATGATACCGTCCTGTTCGTGGCCTCTTGAGGGTTCTATTGAGGCTGTCCAGGTCGTGGTTGAGAGATTTGAGTTGGCCACTGGGGTCCGGTTCAATCGTGCGAAGTCCGATCTTATGGGTATCGATGGGTGGTCGTCTCGCCTTGTATGGGTGAGGTCTTTGTTTCCGGTAGTCTCCTCTATGCATGTTTTGGGAATTGTCTGGTTCGCTTCCTATGAGCAGTTTTTGGAATGTAATTGGGGTGTGGTTTCCCCGTAGTGTTGGTGTTGCGATTGGGTTGTTGGCTGCTCCCCCGTTGACGGTTTATCAGCAGGCGTTGCTTGTTAATGGCAAGGTTTTGTCGCGTGTCTGGTACGTAGCTCTGTGTTTCACCCTAGATCGCCGGCTGGCTCTAGCGTTGGAACGTCAGGTCTATAGATACGTGTGGAGCGGTCGGTACCACCCGGTTCGTCGTTCGACGTTGGTGTTAGCTATGCGGGAGGGAGGGGTGGGTATTCCGGATGTGTTTACCAGGGCTCGGGCGTTGTTCTGGGTCTCGTTGTGTCAGGGGTTAGAGCTGGGTGGGGGGCTCAATGCTTTGGGTGTTTTTTATTGCTCGGTTAGGTTTAGTTTTTTTGGTAGATTTGGGCGTCTGTCGGGAGGTGTCCTCCTGCACCCCTCCTGTTCACTCTTGGGCGGTGGACATTCTTCGTGCTGTCTGCTGTTGTTCGGGTTTCACGTCTGTCGGTTAAGGCGGTTTATGGGGTCTTATTTCGTCGAGTTCGGCCGCGGGTGGAGGGTTTGTTCCCGTGTTGGGATTGGGAGGGGGGTGTGGATGGCGTTGAGGGCGCGGTTTCTGGCGCCACAGCAGCGGGAGTTGCTGTTTCGTATGTTGCATTTGTCGTTGGCGACGAATGTCCGGTTGTGCATGCTGGGTTTGCGTGCCTCTGACGCGTGTGTACACTGTGGGTTACCCGAGACTCGGTTGCATGTTTTCTATTTTTGTGAGCGGTTGCGTGGTTTGCTTGAATGATTTCGTGACGTGTTGGCCGTGGTTTGTGGGCCGGGTATCGGGGTGCTGACTGTGTATGGGTTGGTCGGAGGAAGGGTTATGGGGTTGATAGAGTTTTGGGGTTTTTGAGAGGCCACTTGCGGTACACCTGGTGGTGGCTGCAGCGTGCTTTTCCGGGCGATTTTTGTGGTTTATTTACGGGTGCGTATGTTCGTGGGGCTGCTTTTGGGTGAGTGGTCGTGGGTCGGGCTCTTGGTTGTTGGTTGGGGGTTGTTTGGGTGGGTCTTCTTCCGGTTTGTCTTCGGTCCCCGGCCCTCCGGTGGGACTCCTCGGTGGGGGTTGGGCGGGGTGTGTGTGTGTGGTTGTTGTGTTTCTGTCGTGGTTGCTCCTGTGGTTTTGTGTTCGGTTTGGTATGCTTGTGTGTAGGGGTCATTCTGTCCTGGCTCCTGCATGGGCCACTTAGTTTGCCCTGTGTAGGTTGGTTTACCTTGTTATATTATTTCTGGTATGGGTGCTTGTTGCGCGTTTGTCTCCAATTTATTATTCACCCCTTTTTAGTTTGAAGGGGTGTTTGTATTGCTGTTCCTGTATATTGGGTGTTCTTTTGCCATTATTTACTGTTATTTATCTCTTTCATGTGCCATGTGTTTTTGCTTTGTGTTGCTAATGTGATTGTGTACGACGTGTGTGTGCGTGTGCATTGTTTTCTTATGTGTACATTTTTCTGTTCTTTATGTTCTTACCGTTTGTATGTCTCAGTCAGTGTTGTAGAATTCTGGGAGACCTGAAGGCTTGCATTTAAGTACCGTGTTGCAAATTATCTGTCAGTTGGTCAGGTGGTTAAGGGTTGAGAGAATAAAAACATTGTTAAGTAACGTAGACGTGGTGATTAGTTATTGATCCGTGGGATAGTGATCTAGTCACCCCGAGTTCATTGGGGTATGTAGGACACCAGAGGGAATTCATTTCGTTGATGTTATAATTGTTCAGCCAATGTGAAAGGTAACGTATTTGTGTATGATTAATTATTGATCTTCGAGATAGTAATTAATTGCTCAATTTAGTCAAAGGTGATTGCCGTCCTCTTAGTACTTTGGACATAGAATTGTAGTAAACCATCGAGTGGGCGATAGTAACCGATAACGTAACGCGTACTGGGATTTATCAGCTGTCCATAATACAGTGATTAATGAGGATTACTCACTGAACATTCAACGGGTCAAGTGTTTGTAATTCCGAGTTACGAGTGACAGTTTACAGTTTAATTTGTCTGTGGGAGACACGATTAAGTTAACGTAGTCGTCGTCGCTGACAGCTGTTGACATTGTATTAACG